CGGTTGTGGCATTGGTTACCGGCTCGATTGGGCATTAAGGGGTATTGGGCACCTTGGACGTCTGACCCCGTCCGAAGGGCGTATGATCCGATGAACTGGACACCGGCTCCCAATGGACGGCGGTTTTCGCACACCGCCCCGCTGCCTTGCGGGTCAGGCTTTGGCTAGCCGAAGGCTCCGGTTGTGGATTCCTCAAGAAAATTCACCTGCCTTGGCCTGGGCAATCTGGCAGTACTTAGCCCACAAGGCAATCATGGAACATTTTTCTTTTTATAAAGATTATTGTACCATGATTTGTTTGGCACACAGTCTGTCCTCAGACAAGTGTGAAATATATAATACATATAACCACTTGTTGGCTTCTTTTGAGCATCCACTTTCGAACCTGAAGAGGTTACAACAGTAAATAAACACTAGAAGACTGTGCGTGAGATGTAACAGTGGCTCAGTACAAGTGAAAAGAAAAAGAACAAACTATTGACGCTTATTGGCCGTGTTCGTATACGAACCGATCGATTACAGTGCGAATGAAATGCATCATTTCTCCAATGACACCTATCGATCGATTCAAAGGATCTATTTAAGAGACATCGTATTGGTCTCCGATGAATTCAGCCCTCGAGAGGATTAATCATTAAGATGTCTAAACGGTCCACATGCAGTCGCGGTCAACGGGACGGAAAAAGGAGACTGTCTACTTCAAATTCGAGCAGACTGAAGACTGCTCCGATGAACTACCAACTTTTTCCACCAAAAGCAACACGGTCTTACATGGAAACCTCCTGAACAAATCCCAGCTATGGACCCACATTGATCGATCATCAGTTACCTCACGCATGGGACTATTCAAGACTATCGATCCTACTAGTCAACACCCACGGATACGAATCACATTCTAGGAAGAGCCAGATTATGCCTATGCCTGATAATTTAAACCAAGCAACCGAAATCGGAAGTCCGTAGTACCCTGTAAGCGACAGCTGCAAGAGCCTCAGGAACGATGGTGAGAAATGATGGATACAAAGTGTAAGGGCGGGGAGATAGCCGCGGCAATGGGTAACAGTCGCAATCCTTTCCGTGGACTCGGATCAGTCCCACTGAAAGTAGGCGAGGTAATTGGGACACAGTGACTCCTATTTGGTAACGGCATTTTGAGCTATAAGCTCTGTTAAACTGGCCTACATCGACGTTAGATTTGCAAGGTCCCATCCAAGTTGTCCAACTACTATTAGCTGATAACCGTTCTCGTTCTAAAATGTTTATTTCAAATAGTACTCCAAAAAGTACAAGGCTTCCGATTTGGGATAGGTTTGTATCAATCCGTTTTTAAAGATGGAGAACACAGACTACTTCCGTAGAACCACCATTTCTTTATTCTTTGATTTGTAAGCGGCTTTCGACTCAGTCAACCGCTCTAAACTTTGATACTGTCTCTCCTTTACGTGTGTCTGAAGAGTTTATTTCAACATCAAGAACTCTTTACACTAATAGGCACCTTTGCACCCGATTTCACCTGAGCGGTTTCGATCCGAGATTGCCCCTTCTCCTTTTCTATTTGTAATGGACCTAATTCTAGAAACAGCCTGGCCCTCGGGCGAGGATAGTGGCACAGATTTACCTCCAAATGCAGATAATGTGATCTGGAGTATGCTGAAAGTGCCGTACAGCTAAGTGAAGATCCAGGTAAGTGGCTTTTCTGGATGGTTTGAGTGCGTGTAACCATGTTCGGCACGAGTTTTGCACCTTCAGTGTGTAAATGTTGCTGAAGGACTGGGCTGGTTGAACTTCCTGCCCGGTTCGGTAAGGAAAACAATAGAGAAAGTAGATCACTTTTGCTAATTGGACAGCTACATCTGACCTGTCGAGTAAATTGAAACACCTTTGGTGCTTGTGGAGGACCGAATACAGGCTTGCAGTAGTTCAGGCGGAGCTACTGANGGATAATTAGCCGTTATGAGAACAGGATCAGACAATTGGCGATCGAACACCGCATTCCGCGAGTCCGGCAGAGCAAATGGACAGCTGATGAGCCAGTAAGGTACAGTTTTGCATAGTCGTTGTCGTTCCCTGGAGCAAGAACTCGGCTATATTACGCTGGCTGGCTGACAAGCATGTCACCGGGTAGGATTCATAGGCGCGAAAGGTTTGCAGAGCCAGGGAGCGATTGGGAAAAGTCACGGTGCGTCAGAAACACGACTGGCAAAGGGATATAAAAACCCCAATCAGGAGAAATGCTAGATCAGTTCAGTTCAGTTTTTACAACCAATAACCATGCACTTTCGTGTGGTGGTTTTGGTTATCTTTTGGCCGCCCATTTGGATAAAAGAGCAGGATAAAGATTGAAATGTTGAAAGCAAATTCAAGCGGGAGATGGAGAGGAGAATTCATATAGTGGTGTGAGCAGAATAATGATTGGATGCACGAGCACCACTGTTTGCGACACCCAGCCATATCACTCAGTGTCAAGTTTACAGTTTGTACAACCATGCACTATCGTGCGCCGGTTTTGGTTGCTGTCTTTTGGCTGCCCAGTGTTAGGTAAGGACTTCCGGTCGGTGACCTCGGGATTAGTACAATCGATGGTGAGGAATACTAAGTAATGTATATATATATATATATGACGCCGGACTGTGTGTCAAACAAATCATGGTACAATATTCTTCATAAAAAAGAAAATTGTTTCATGATTTGCATGTGGGCTGAATACTGCCAGATTGTCCAGGCCAAAGCAGGTGAACTTTAAGAACTTGAAGATCTACAGTGTGATAATAGCAATATACAACCTTAGCGTTGAGATTCAGTGAGGAAAATCAAATGAGAGTATGATGGAAAATGTGTGGCTTTTCGCATCCCACAAAGCCAGATTGCGAAGTATGAGCCATTGCTTAAAAATCGTTCAGGTTAAGGTCGTGACTGGAAAACGGTTACTTACATTGACCAATGCATCGATTGACCGATACTCCAGCGCTTCCTCAGTTTTGTCACACTCCAAATGCATACGCAACTGACTTTGTCCTATGACGAGGAGGAAACACGAAAAATGATTAGTGTCAACTTGAAATAATTTGGGGAATTTCGCACAACTTTCTCCTTGGCTTTCTCGATACATTTGAACAAGGATTCCGCACGGAGTAAGTCGCAACCAGTAAAATTACGGGAGGCAAATGTAGTGGTTCACTGCCACTACTCACGATAGTGCTCACACTCTATATGGATCCTTCAGAACAGTCATTGAAAAACAATATTGCTCGTTGTACTGATAGTATAACTGAAAGCTAAAAGGTGCGTCTCCAGGTCATTCACAGACAAGTGACCACATCGCCGTTTAAGCCAGGAATAACGAAGCAACAGTTCCTAGATAGGCGGTAGCGGACAGTCAGCGGTGCTGTTTGAGTAATTACTGGATCCTCACGAAAACGAACAACCCACACAAAAGTCACGGAATTTTACCTTTTATTCGTTGAACAGACTCTATACGAGTAGATATTTTTTCGTGTCTCCTCAGATCATATTGCTCAACTACTAATCAAAGTATTAGGATTTCGATATCATCGCCCCTTCCCACCAGTGTTATATGATTACGTTGAAGATTGGGCAATACACTATGCGCTAACCGACTTCATGCTAGGAGACAGTTCTGCTGCACTGCAGCCAATACTGAATCGTGTAAAACTCTTCATAAATGCTGTGGTGTTGGAAATTAACAGATTTAATACCGAGACTTTTTGCATGTTGTGCTTCACAGCTCACATCTCTAGTATACGCAAACGGCGATTCAATCGAATACGCCCATTCATGCAAATATTTAGGGTCCCTGAATACACAGATCTTTTAAGGTACCACAACACTTTATTAATGGAAAGTACAAAAGGTTATTTCTTTCGTCTTGATGGTGCAGTTAACCTAACACCCCACTAACACTTTTTATATTTACTTTTGTAGATATTATTTGAGCTGTTGATAAAAACTTGCAAGGTCGGATTCGCAACCGAAACCAAACACATGGGTCATCGGTAAAAAACCAAAATGCACTCGATTGATCTTAACAACTTTCTCTGAAACCTGTAGTGTACAGGTGAAAAGTGTGACCATGGCTGAGAGATAAGGTCCACGCAAAAAGACTACAAGTGCGTACCAACCATAGACTTCCGCTGAAGTGACTACTCACAAGTAGTTAGTTACTAATTACAGCTGTCAGAAAACCGATTGACCTCTCACTCGACCCACTGCGCTTAAAATTACTGTTGCGGGTCTCCATAAATTTTCGGTGAGTTAACATTAACGACTAGAACACTGATAACACGTTTAAAAACTTACTAGCTTCAGCCTCGAGCAAGGCAAACACACGAGTTACGTGCGACCGTGAAGAAGCCAGGCTGGTCCAATCCAGCGCTTTGGGCAACTCAATGCGTTCGTGATCGGGTCGCATGCGACAAAAAGTATCCAAGCCGCTCGCGGTCAGCTGTTGCGTTACAAGCATTTCAGTCTGTAATCGGGGCATCAGAGCATCTAGACGCTGACACAGCCACGGTTCCCAACGCATAGATAAACAGGCGCGTAGTTCTGCAACCTGCTCAAAAGTGCTATAGTAATAAACGGGCGGCTCATTGGCGTATTCTATACTCGGATTGCATCGAATGCGTCGGAGTGGACATTCAGGAAAATCCTCTGAATCGTCACCGGGAAAACATGAAGTGGTGTGTTGTTCATCGTAATCTTCTCCAAGATCGGGGTCATCCAAGAAACTGTCAGCATAAGCTTGCTGCCAGTGGGGGTCGTATACGCCATCCAGAACACCGGGAAGACAGGGCTCTCGTTGGGTGAAATCAGTGGGTTCACTGAAAATTGTAAATCACATGAAATACGGTTGGTAAGACGGTAAAATCCCAAATTAAAGCAAAACTACGTATAGAATAAAATGAAGAAATGGACATTTAAAAATGCTCATTTCCAAGGGTTGAATAACCAATGCTGGAGGTTTACTCTCTACATATATATCATACCGTATAAATATATAAATATAGCCCGTGAACGCTGTCAAAAACAGGAGGGCGTTGGTGTGGTGCGTACACCTCTTTGTAGTTGGTTCAGAATTAGGGTTTCTCGAGAAACTCCCCAGAGTGAACTTTTTCATGACACGCACTTGTGATGAACGGTATACGGGGAAGGTAACACAATCGCGAAAATCTGTTCAGTGATGGATACCGGCAACCTAAGACCTGGGACTAGGAGTGGCGAACCACATAAGGCCTCGATAGGTTAGGCGTGGTATTGAACCGGATTAACCGTATGACAGCAAAGCCACCTAGCGCCTGCTACCACATACCGTTGGTAGTTTTGATCCGGTGGATAGTTGTAGGTACCAACTATTGGCCATTTGATGTCTTTCAAAATAACCAGCAACATGGAGCAACATCATATTTAGTAAGTAGGGATACAAGCAAAATAACGTAAGTGCCTATAATTCCCTACTCCATATGGCTGAAGAACCGTTAATTATATCTTTCTTGGACTAGAATCTGCCAACTTTACTCAGTTACCGACAGTTTCAACTTTCACCTCTAATCATGGTAGGGTTCACAATGATATGAGTATATTACTTCTACAGCCCGGTGTAGTTAGGATTGGATTGTATTGTGTATAACTTTTGCAAGCACTGGANCTGGAGCTCACATTTCAGTTAAAAAATCATACACGCTAACCGTCACAATGTTCATAATCAACGGGGAGAAAAGTTTTTACAGGCATGGGGATATTTCATAATCCAAGGTTAAGACAAAGTTCACTCATTGTCCGCCCTTTGTATATGAGTAGACGAGCAAGATACGGTATGGGTGAATTGCGGTATAAATTAATTCGAGATGAAATTTGGCGGAATTGGGAGCGTGTTGAATGATGGGAACGACAAAGTGTCAGTTCTGCATGCAATGGGTGGTCAGGATCTGTGAGAAGCGCCTCAAGCTTCTGGATTCCTTGAATAGAAAGATAATAAACTGTTCGGTGGAAGAGGCGTGGTATTGCGCCGGAAAACCTAACAAATGAAATAAACAGCACTGCAGGATGAATGGGCACGTTTCATCTTATTTTCTCAAGAGTCAACATCAGAGAATTCTCTGCAGTAACCCTTTTCAAGGTTGAACACTCCGTAAACAGGAAAGCTATTTGACATATTACCAAGCCAAATAGCAAAACACGGAACGATCAAGCAAAATTCAAATAAAATTTGTCTTAATCCTCGATCTCGTTTTCCTACATTTAACTGATCACTAAAGTTTCATCTAACTGGTGAGCCAAGACCGAAAAAGAGACAACATGCAAACTGCTGACCGGGGTGAACATACTTAGAGCGTGTGACAAAGAGAGAACAAAAAGACACGTTACCACATGATACTCACACCAATATTCGACGACCGATGTACCAATAGGTGCGACCAGAACGATCCGAACCCAGTGGTTCTTTCCGATGAATCTTCCGAGCTCGCTCTTCTTCCGTCAAGCATTCGTGAACCCCGGGGACCTGAAAAAAAATTTAAAAATGGCACCGGCCTTAGGGTTCAGTGCAGTAAACTTGGGCATAAATTACAAAGGCTCACACAACAAATTAAAGTCTGTGGGAAAGTGGTCAGGTCACAAAATGATGACTCGGAAATCCCGGGTTCGAACCGCTTCACCGTCGCCCGCCTTCCTTGTTTGTGTATTTCCCCAGTCAGCCTTTGCATGGCCGCAGCTGGCTTCCTGAAAGTTGACTGTACATTTGTACATTCAGTAAATAAAAAAGATAATAGATAAGCGAAAGGGTGCGAAGTTGCACTGATGATTTTGCCTAGCTACAAAACGTCTGCGAACACTTCCAGCTCGGAGAACACACCGATAACGGCATTGTATCAGTTCAGTTCTTACAACCATTAAACATGCACATCCGTGCGCCGATTTTGGTTGCCCATTTGAATAAAACAGCAGAATGAAGATAAAAATGATGGGAGCTTATTCTAGCGGAAGATAGCGCATTTTTATAGACCAATGTTGCAAGAATAATGAGTAGATGAATGAGCGCGATACCCAACCATATCGTTCAGTGTATCTAACCATCGGTGGCCGTCATCTCGGGGTCCCAAGCCAGGGATTCTAACAGGACTGATGTGACCCAGTTTTCCGATCAGGGTTTTCATACCCTCACGCCAGGTCCTCGTCGGACTACCCTAGGTCTTTTTCTAACCGCTACCTGTATCGGCAAACATCGCTCGCCGTGGCAACCTATATGGTGGCATGCGTAACACATGCCCCAACCAGCGTAATCTATGGAGGTCAACTATTTGCCCCAGTGGGCGAC